TGAGTCCATTTATATAGAATTCAAGTGAGTAAGATTTTGTTAAAGATAAAAATGTTCCTTTTGGGGAGATGGATAGCAATTGAAAGTAGGATATGAAGTGGGCCACTGGTATACAGTTAATGTGCTGTATTCCCTATCTTGAGCTCTATATCACTTTTATCATTACTTATGATAATGTATAGGTATAATTTATCCATATTTCTTTATTACACAGCACAAATTAAAACTTTACATTAGGAAATAACAGCTATTTGTGTGCTAATCTGGAAAAATGACACTTCTGAGATACTTTTTGTTTTTTAAAAATCAGGCTTTAGAACATGCATAGCATACTCCCAGTAGTTCTTTGTACTTGAAGAATTGTTAAAAGATAATAGATAAAATTGTTAGCTTGGTATCCTCCAGAGAAGGGACTTGGACTGAGAAGAGGCTTTTTATATCCGTCATAGTATTTGAAGGCCTTTTCTCATATGTGTATTCCTTTTTAAATTTTGTAAAAGTTCTTTTAAAGAAAACTGGTTCAGAAACTTGGTACTGTATACAAAAGACTCATTTTTTTAACTTTTAAGATAGGCTTCTTGGGGGGGCAGAGGCAGAATTTTTGTTTTTATTTTATTTATTTATTTTGTCAGTTGTGTGTCTTGAACTTTGGGCCTGGACTTTCTTGCTCGGGCTGGCTTTGAACCATGATCCTCAGATCTCAGCCTCCAGAGTAGCTAGGATTACAGGCGAGAGCCACCAGTGCCTGGCTGGAAGTGAGACTTTTTGTTTCTATGAAATTTCCTATTCTGGATATTTCTTATAACCAAAGTCATTCAATATGAGGCACTTTTTGTATGGCTTTCTTCAATTAGCCTAATGTTTTCAGGGTTCATTTATGTTCATTATGTGTCAGGACTTAATTCCTTAAAATTTCCTACATTTCTACCTCTCAGAGGTTTTTTTTTGGTTTTTGTTTGGGGGTTTTGTTTGTTTTGTTTGGGGCTTGGGGGGTTTTGTGCTACCAGTCCTGAGGTTTGAACTCAGGGCCCTGGTGCTGTTTCTGTGTGTCTTTAACTAAGTTAGCATTCTTATTACTTGAGCTACAGCTCCGCTTTTGATTTTTGGTGGTTAATTGAAGATTGGAGTCTCTACTGCATGGGCAGGTTTAAACTTTGATCCTCAGATCTCAGCATCTTGAATAGCTAGGATTATACAGGTATGAGCCACTGACGCCCAGCAAATGTTCTTACTTTTGATCTTATTAACAAATTAATGAGAATAGATGTTAACCCCATTGACCAATAAGGAAAGTGAGTTTTAGAAAAAAATACATCATTTGGTTTACTAGGATTTGATATCTAGGCTATAGAATTTAATTCCAAAGCACAGGCTTTCTCTATCATGTTATTTTTTCTATCTCATTGTTTTGAGAACTGTAAAATACAAAGAAAAATAATAATTGACTTTAAGTAAATGAATAAATTGGTGAAAAGACAATATAAGGCCATTTAGGTGCAAGCAAATGTGATAAAAAGATGCTTGTTTAAAAACTATAAAAAATTATCAAAAGCTAAGAATTAATGTCTCACAAATTTGTATGCCATTCAAATAAGTATGATGTGATAGCTTGTTATTTTAATTTGTGTTTTCCTAATGACTAGTCATTTTAAGCATCTTTTCATGAGCTTACTGATCATTTGCATTTTTTCTTTGGACAAATGTCTATCCAAATCTTGTGCTCATGTTTTCATTGAGTTGTCTTGTTATTAAATTCTCTAATTATTCTGAATATTAAGCTGTTGTTAAATAGGTAGTTTACAAATATTCTCTAATTCTATAAGTCATGTTTTGCTTTGTTTTATTTTGAGACATAGTCTTACCATGTAAGCCAGGCTGATATAAAACTGTGATTCTCCTACCTCAGCTTTCCAAGTGCAGGGCTTTTAGGCTGCTCAGTATGTTTTTACTTGCTTGTAACAGTCCATTTATCTACAAGAGTTTCATTTTTATGAAATCAAATCACCTGCTTCTTCTTTTGCACATCTTTTTAGTGTCATATGTACAGCCATAGCCAAATTGAAGACTGAAAATCTGCCTTTTTGTTTTTTCTAAGAGGTTTATAGCATTAGCTCATATGTGACCATCAGTTTTTGGGTTTTTTTTCAAGTAAGGGGTAGGTTTATTCATCGTTCCGGCTGACACCAGGCCATGTTGGTCCACGTGGTGGGGAAAGGCCTGGGAAAGAGAGAGAGCTGGGAAAGAGAAGGGAAGGAAAGAGCTGAGAAAGAGCTAGAAAAGAGCAGAGAGAACTAGAAAAGAGAAGGGAGCTGGGAAAGAGAAGAGAAGGAAAGAGCTGAGAAAGAGCTAGAAAAGAGCAGAGAGAGAGTGTGGGAAAGGTGGGAAAGAGAGAGCTAGGAAAGAGAAGAGAGCTGGGAAAGAGAAGAGAAGGAAAGAGCTGAGAAAAAGCTAGAAAAGAGCAGAGAGAGAACGTGACCATCAGTTTTGAACCAGTTTTTGTACATGATATGAATAGCCAACTGTCAAAGTACTAGCTAAAGAATTTGCTTTTCTGTGGAATCTTTGCTCACTATTTTGAAAGTCAGCTGGCCATAGATGTATAGATTTCTTTCAGTGTTTTTTTTTTTTTGTTTTTTTTTTTTTTTGTCGTGGAGCTTGAACTCTGGGCTTGGGCACTGTCCTTGTGCTCTTCATCTCAAGGCGAGTGCTCTATTTTTTTTTTTTTTTAATTTTATTTTATTTGAGAACATACTGTACAGAGGGGTTACAATTACATGGGCAGGATAATGCATACATTTCTTACCAAGCATTGCAGCCTCCTCCTTTGTTTACCCTTCACCTCCCTTCCCAGCCTCCCCCCTCCCCCCCCACCCAATCCTTCCCCCCCTCCCCCCCCCCACACCGACATTGTTAAGCTCGTTTTTGACGTGAGTGCTCTATTGCTTGAGCCACAGCACTACTTCCAGTTTTCTAGTGGTTTTATTGGAGATAAGAGTCTCACGGACTTTCCTGCCTGGGCTGGCTTTGAACCGCAATCATCAGATCTCAGCCTCCTGAGTAGCTAGGATTACAGGCATGAGCCACCGGTGCCCAGCTTGTTTCTTGTATTTTTTCAGTACATTTTTCTGTCTTTTTTTTTTTTTCCCCTGATCCTGGAGCTTGAACCTCTGGGCCTAGGTACTGCCCCTGAGCAGCTTTTGCTAAAGACTAGCGCTCTACCACTTGAGCCACAATGCCACTGCTGGCTTTTTTTCTGAGTAGTTTATTGGAGATAACAGTCTCACAGACTTTCCCACCTAGGCTGGCTTCAAACTGTGATTGTCAGATCTCAACCTCCTGAGTAGCTAGGATTACAGAGTGAAATACCAGCAGCACCAGCTGTATGTCTGTTTTTATGTCAGTGCCACACTGTTTTGATTACTGTACGTTTATAGTAAGGTTTAAAATTTAGAAATAAGAGTTCCCTGGCTGTGTTCTTTTTAATATTGTTTTAGCTTTTTGGGATCTCCCACAATATTGTATGAACTCAAGGTCAACTTTTTCCATTTCTCCCAAAGTAAAAGGGCTATCTAAATTTTGGTATGGGTGCCCTTACATCTGTATACTAATTTAAGTTGTATTGCTATTCTGATATCAGTCTTCTAATCTAATAATATGGAACTTCTATTTTTTTTGTCAGTCAAGGGGCTTGAATGTGGGCCTGGGCACTGTCCCTCAGCTATTTAGCTCTAGGCTACCTGCCATTCTAAACTTGAGCCACAGGACCACTTCCGGTTTTCTGGTGGTTAATTGGAGATAAGAGTCTCACTGACTTTCCTGCCCAGGCTGACTTTGAACCATGATCCTCAGATCTCAGCCTCCTAAGTAGCAAGGATTATAGGCATGAGCCACCAGCGCCCAGCTGGAATTCTTTTTATATGTTCAAGTTTACTTTAAGTTTTTAAGCAATATTTTGTAGTTTTCATTGTACAGCTCTTTTTACTTTTTGGGTTAAAGTTACTCGTAGACATTTTCTTATTTATAATGCTGTTTTCTTAATTTCATTTTAAGATACTTTATTGCTGGTGGACATAAACATGATTGGAATTTGTATATTGATTTTACTATGTCTAATCTATTATGGCTACTTTGACATTTATATGTTATTTTTGTTTCCTTACTTTTGTACTGTATCTGGGATTTGTTTTAGAATCAGAATGTAAAGCTAAATCTAGTTTTCCATTTAATAATCTCCTTGTTTTCATACTTATTCCCTTTAAAATTATTAATGAGGTTTATGTCAATTATGTTCAAAGTCTTCCACTGACTTATACATCAAAATAAAAGCTTAATTCTTTAAGAAGTACCATATAGCTACTGACAAACTCTCCCACTTTACCTCCTTGAAATTCCAATCATAATGACCTTGGCCTTGTTAACTAGGGCCCTTTGTACTTTGTCCACCTGGGGTCCTCTGACTATTCCAGTGGTTTTGTTTCTATTTCCTTGAGATCTTAGCAAATGTGTCTCCTGAGAGTTTTTCCTGATCAGGTGACCTGAATATGCTTAATACTCATAATTGGCTAAATATTAGTTTAGGCATTTGATATATGTTCTTTTTTATTCTTTTTAAAAAAAGGAAGGGAAGGAAAGAAGAATAGAGCAATTCTGTGAATTAGATATTATCATGTCTAGTTTACTAGTAAAAAAAAAAACAACCAAAGAGATTATATTATATCAGAAATCCTCAGCTGACATAACTGATCTTTTGATTCTAAGCCATTTCAGCATTCTTCACAATAATCTAAGAAATTAATGAAGCAGTGGAATAACATGCTAAAAGCCAAGTATGAGGAAAATTGCTCTGCAGAGTAAATGCAAAAAGAATCTGGAGGCAAGTCAAAATTATATAGGCATAGGTTTTATTTATGAAAAATTCCATGTCAGGGCTAGGTCTTAGAAAATGAAAAAGTAAAAGTGACATCATGGGTTTTACAACTAACCAATAAATTTTCTTTCAGCTGTGTTTAAACTTGAAACAGATACAGGTATATGGCCCTTGATAAGAATCTATCGTGGTGGCTTTCTTCTGATTGAATTCCTTTTTCTACTGGGCATCAACACATATGGTTGGAGACAGGCTGGAGTAAATCATGTGCTCATCTTTGAACTTAATCCAAGAAGCAATTTGTCTCATCAACATCTTTTTGAGGTAATCAAAGCAAGATATAAAATCCTATGACTATTGTTTGCCTTAGTTGTATAGTAGGTTTAATAGGTACTGAAATCCATCTATTAAAATTATTGGCTTATTACTAATCATTTTACTTATCTTCATTTATTAAAGATACTTCTGAGTAGTAATACAAATAAAACTAATTTTCTTTTTTTCTTTACTTCCTATTTTTTACCAGATTGCTGGATTCCTGGGGATACTGTGGTGCCTGAGCCTTTTGGCATGCTTCTTTGCTCCAATTAGTGTCATCCCCACATATGTCTATCCACTTGCCCTTTATGGATTTATGATCTTCTTTCTTATCAACCCCACCAAAACTTTTTATTATAAGTCTCGGTTTTGGCTCCTTAAGCTGCTGGTAAGTTCAGAAACTTCTGTGTAGCATTTAAAAAATAGTATAAAACCAAAGCTACTGGGTTGTAGGATTTGAGAAGGTTACTATTTACATCTATGCACATGGTACCCCAGCTTTGATGGCAAAAACTGCAGTGACTAAACTCAGCCAATTTTCTTTTTTTTGTTGTTGGTTGTGGGGCCTGAACTCAGGGCCTGGGCTAGCACTCTACCACTTGAGCCACAGCGCCCACTTCCTGCTTTTACTGTTTATGTGGTGCTAAGGAATTGAACCCAGGGCGTCGTGCATGCAAGGCAAGCACTCTACCACTGAGTCACCTTCCCAGCCCAATAAACTATACTTTTAAACACTGATATTTATCGGTTACACTTGTTGGTCACTTTATTTTAAATATTTAACTTTGATCTAATAGATCAAATTAGTAGAATATAAAAGTCAGTTTTGGAAAACATACATTTATTCACAAGTCTAGAAAGTAGAAATTTAAAGGTCATCTTTGCCATTTATCTATTCACTTACCTTTATTGATTAACATTCCACTATACCCATTCCCCCTCCTTCACTACCAAAAACATATACAGTATCGAGAGCTTATGGTTGCAAATAGGATAGCTTATCTTTTTGGCTTGTTGGACCCACAGAAGAAGTATGAGAATTATCAATGGACTGAAGCATAGAGCCAAAATATATTGCCTCAGAAAACAATGTCTCAGCCTTCATTGTGTCCCGCGGACACCTGATACCACTTTCTGAGATCCAATACACATAACTTTCATAGATGACACCCAGAAAAATATTTAGAGAAAGAATAGAAAGAACAAACTAAGTCTAAAAGGAGAATTTTCATAGACTCTTAGATTGAAATTGTCTATTGAGTATACCCACTTAGCCAAAAGTCTACTCCTTAGACAAAATTCTTTCAGTGCATTTCTCCTGTATAATAAGATGGAGTCTGATATAATGAAAATAAAAGCTGCCTTCATTCCATCTTCACACAGGTTTATCAATGCAATCTTCACCGTTTAAACACATTTCTGGTGATAGCATTACTCTCTAATCTTAGTTTCTCTGCAGTGTCAGGATTTCTGTTTATAGTGGTAATAGATTTCCACTAAAGAGCTAGGGATAAGTTTATTTATAATGGAAATATGAATAGTACCTACCTTTAGAATACTAAAAATTGAGTTAAAGCATACATAAACGCTAAGAAAAATACACTGCATCAAAGAGTGGTCATTACATTTAACTTTAATACATTTATTATTGTTTTCAGAACAGTGGGAAGAATGAATTTTTTTGGGGGGGGGACAGTTGTGGGGCTTGAACCCTGGGTCTGTCGCTGTCCCTCAGCTCTTCAGCTCAAGGCTAGTACTCTACCACTTGAGCCACAGTGCCACTTCTGGCTTTTTCTGCTTTATATGGTGCTGAGGAATTGAACCCAGGGCCTTATGCATGGAAAGCAAGCACTCTACCACTGAACCACCTTCCCAGCCCCAGAAGAATGATTTTTATGGTGAAATTATTATCATGAAATTAGTGCAACAGGGGGGCTAGGAAGATGGCTCAGTGGTAGAGCGCTTGCCTTGCATGCCTGAGGCCCTGGGTTCGATTCCTCAGCACCATATAAGCAAAATGAAAAAAAAAAAAAAAAAAAGAAATTAGTGCAACAGAAGCCAGTTTTATTTGACTATAATGTGTGGGATGATGTATCGTCCTTCCTTAGCTTTTCTTTGCAAGCAATGAAGAGCTTTGTGTTTAGTTAGCTACAATAGGAAGATATTCTAGAAGTGATCATAGTACTTTACACTCTAAATTAGACTTCCTTTCAGTGGTTCTATCCTCAGCACTCTTGCTTTATTTTGTTCTTGGCTTTAAGTCTGCTCACCTCTATTTTTTTAACTGTAGTTATTCCTGTCCTTTATTTCCTTACTTAGTTATACTTAGTTATACCCAGCTACTGTTGCTTGGTCCTTGTGTTTGTTGGTAATTGGTGCTCATTAGTTTTGTTTTACTAGCTAAAGTAATCATGCTGAATGATCAAACACAAAATAGATTTTTTTTTCTTTCAGTTTCGAGTATTTACAGCCCCTTTCCATAAAGTAGGCTTTGCTGATTTCTGGCTAGCTGATCAGCTGAACAGCCTGTCAGTGATACTAATGGACCTGGAATATATGATCTGCTTCTACAGTTTTGAGCTCAAATGGGATGAAAATACTGGCCTGTTGCCAAATGCAGGTAGGGTATGAATTTTCATTCATACTACTAAATTGCCAGCATAAACCAAGAAATATTGAGAATGGTAACTGGGAAAGTTAAGGTCATGGTGAAAATTCATCAAATAAAATTACAAACTTGGTCTGGGAAGGTGGCTCAGTGGTAGAGCGCTTGCCTTGCATGCATGAGGCCCTGGGTTCGATTCCTCAGCACCACATAAGTAAAAAAGAAAAAAGCCAGAAGTGGCGTTGTGGCTCAAGTGGTAGAGAGCTAGCCTTGAGCTGAAAAGCTGAGGGACAGTGCCCAGGCCGAGTTCAGGCCCCACATCCGGACCCAAAAAAAAAAAAAATTACAAACTTAATTAAATGTGCTTGGCATTCTGTTAACAATCTCTGATTCTGAAATCTGACTTTTAAATCATGTTATGAGTTTAGCCATCCGTTTGCCAAGAGCTTTACAACTTACTTAAAAAGGATTCTAACACTTAAAAAAAATTCTAGTAGTTATAGTGCAGTGCTTTAATGCCAATAATTTGTCATCATAATATTTTTCTACACTATTATATAGATATTAACGATCAAATGTACTATTTATTTAGTTCAAATCAAGTACTTTATGAAAGATTTCTTTTAATAGTTATTTGGTTGAGACCTTTTGTTTTTACTACTAGTTCTTTGTCATACCTTTAGTTTATGCCTGGAATTATATTATTAAGGAAGTTTGCCTTTGTGACAACAATTTAATGTAGATATTATAGCATCTGACTAACAAAAGTTATTGATAAGCTTGACAAGATGGCATTCACCTGTAATACAAGAACTTTAGAGACTAAGGCAGGACTATCCAGAAGTTCCAGGACAGCCTGGGCTACAAAGCAAGATCTTGTCTCAAAATACATTAGAGCCTGTGCTGACATATTTTGAATGAATGCCAGTGGATCACAACTCTTGTTTAGGTTTGTCATGCTATATAACCAGAGTTCAACAAAAGTAAAACTATTCTTGGTTTAAAAAAAAGAGTAATATAAACATTTTCTTGGATGTATTATAGTGATTTGGAGCTAATGAAATTGTAGTACCTTTTAAACTTGTAGATTTTTCAGCTGCTTTAAATTATACAACAAACCAATTTATTCTCCTTTGATTAGCATGCTCATTTTCTAATTCACTTATAGCTTTATCATACTCAAGAGAAAGTGATTCTAGGACAGCTATTCAAAACTCTAAGAGGAAAAAAATTCCAACTAATCTCTTTTTTACCTTTTTTTTAATAGCTTGTCAACGATTAAAAAGCTTGAAAATGCAGATATTTGCAAGAAGGAAAAACTAAAATATAGGACTTTTAAGACTTGCTAATGGTTACATTTATGACTTAATGTTTTATTCTTTTGAAATTTTCTCAGAAACAAAAATTTGCAACAAATACACGTATGGTGTGCGAGCCATCGTTCAGTGCATTCCTGCTTGGCTTCGGTTCATCCAGTGCCTGCGCCGATACCGTGACACAAAAAGGGCCTTTCCTCATTTAGTTAATGCTGGCAAATACTCCACAACTTTCTTCATGGTGACGTTTGCAGCTCTTTACAGCACTCACAAAGGTATTCTATGATTGACTACAAAGAGATTTTTACCACCTAGATTTTTATTACTTCAGTCTGTCCTTACTCTTGTTATTTTTCATTTGTCATGGTCTTTCCACTGAAGTTTGAGTCTGCTCAGTTACTTCAGTTTATTCTTGAAAACAATTTTAGTCTCAAAGTACTGGCAAGTACTTTGAAAAGAAGTACAATCACCCAGAATAGGAAGGATTATGATAATGTTTGAAATCCTGGAATTATGTTCAATCTATGGATGCTTTGAATTTTCATTTGCTTTTTTAGACTTCTTTGTTCATTAATGGGGTTGGGAAATAACTAGGTGAACAAGATTACCTCTGGCATCAAGTATATTTTTAATCTCTTCCCTTTACCAAGTAGTAAGAGTTGTTTCCAGCCCATTTAACTGCAAATTCAGTTCTCTGATCCCTCTAGGTTCTCATCTCCATGGCAACCTGTTATTACTTGCAAGTGCTCTTCTGTTGGAAAGAAAAAAGCTTTTAAGTTCTGGGCCACATGCAGTCACTCCTTTTGAATTTTTAACCTTTTTCTAAGAACTGTCAATCAACTATCTCACTTCCTTTTTCTAAACTGCTTTCCTTCTTTGTTTTATAGAGTATATCAGCCCTCACCTTAGACTCAACTTTTTCATCTTAGTTGGTAAAGAAATGTTACTAATTGAATTTATTATTTACTTATTTTTAAATAATTGAGTAGAAATTGTCAATAATTTTTTTTGTAAAAGGCTATGCTTTAGTGTTACAGAAATCTTAGTGTTTCAGAATTTTAAATTATCTAAAGTATATCTGTTAGCCATGAAAGATCAAGGCATTTTAGTAAACATTGAGTTTTGGTCCAGCAGAGCACATGAATTTTAGGATTTTCTGTTCATGTAAAGAATGTCATTAGAATTTTGATGGAAATTATATTAAATTTGTAGACTACTTTGGTAATATGGCCATTTCACAATATTCTACTGATCTACAAATGTAGAAAGCCTAGTGTCTTCACTTTCGTCATGGTTATAAGTTTTTATTATAAAAGTCTATGAGCTCCTTGGTTAAAAATTATTCCTACTTTTTTTTGCTGTGGTGGGTTTTTTTTTTTTTTTTTTTTTTTTTGTCGGTTGTGGGCCTGAACTCTGGGCCTGGGCACTGTCCCTCAGCTCTTCAGCTCAAGGTTAGCCCTCTACCACTTGAGCCACAGCTCCACTTCCGGCTTTTTCTGCTTATGTGGTGCTGAAGAATCGAACCCAGGGCCTCATGCATGCAAGGCAAGCGCTCTACCACTGGGCCACCTTCCCAGCCTATGCTGTGGTGGTTTTTGTTTTGGATTTGGTTTGCTTTTGAGGCTATTGTGAATGGGATTTTTTTTTTTTCTTTCTCAGTATGTCCCAAAATAGTTCTTACCCTCAATAATTTATAACTTAATAGAGAAAACAGACAAGTAAAACTATTTTAATTGGTTATAGACAATATGGATACTGAAACACAACTTAGATATGATTGCAAAATAAATTTATTCATTTACTCTTTATAATTTCACAAAGGGCTTTAAAATAAGAGTACAAAGAGAAAAACAAGATATCAAAAAGGCCTACAGCACAAGTAAATTTCTAATCCAGTCTTCAGGCCACGGGATGAAGGGTTTAGAGAAGATTTCCAAAGGGTGATGAGTAGACTAACTCCTATTATAATACATTAGGTCTAAAAAGGTTCTGGTTATTTCATTAAATGCCTTGTTCAAGACCTTGCAGTACACACATGCATGAGTAGTATATACGTATATGTGTACATACAACACTAGACAATGGATCTCAGAACCTTGTACGTGCTTGGTAATTGATATATCCTACCCATACAATCTGAGTGATAAAAGAAATCCCATTTCCCATTTCTTTCACCCTAGAACTCTTTTGTTGTTGCTTTTGTTTCACACAAAGCCGCATCTTAAGAAGTGGAGATACTGTTTGTTTACTTCACAGATTTGTTATAAGTATTAAGTAAAGGAGTACGAATGAAATCATCTTGATGATTCTAATGTGGGACTAGATGCCATGTATATTGAAATGCAATATAGTTTCCTTGTTGATGAGTCTTTTTAAGAGAAACTGTTATTGTGATCACCTTGGGTTGGAAGTTGCAAGTATCTGTTAGGGATGTTCAGTTGGAAATGTTTTGGACTGGCATATTTGTCTTATGCCTATACTCCTTACTACTCAGGATACTGAGATCTAGGATCAACGTTCAAATTTAGCCAGGGCAGACAAATCTAAGAGACTCTTATCTCCAGCTAACCAGCAAAAAGCCAGAAGTGGAGGTGTTGATCAAGTGTTAAAGCTTCAACCTTTAGCAAAAAAGCTAAATGAGAGTGAAGCCCTTGAGATCAAGCCCCAGTACTGTCAGCAAAAAGGAAAAAGAACCCATTGCAACAATGAGATGTACAAGACATTATGTTTTATGTTGAAAAACTAACTTTACAACTTTGGCCCGGGGGGGGGGGGGGGGGGGGGGCAAGGGGGGCATGTTGGCGATCTGCCAGGATACTAAGGGGAAACAAAGGAGGAGGCAACAATGCTTGATAAGAAATATACTTATTACCTTACTCATGTATTGTAACCCCTGGGTACGGTATTTTCACAATTAAAAAACTTATTAATAAAAAAAGAATAAAATTCAAGATCAAAAGAAAAAAGAAATGTTTTGGGCTTTTTGTTCTAGAAATATAGTTGTTTACCTATTGAACACAATTCATGTGCTCATGGTCAGAAAAATTTTAGAGGGACCAGTAGTTACATATTTTAATTCTGTCCCTGAAATTTTTTTAAACATTTTATTGTTGTGACATATTAAATATATCACAAATTTTTCTACCAAGAAACCTAGAACACGAGTAAAACAAGAAGACAACTGAAGAGGGGACATCAATAGAAAACATGACATTGAGTGATAAAATAATTTTATTTCTATTATTTTTTTAATTATTTTTGACAATATTCCAGTAGAAAAGACATTAAGCAACAGACTTGAGAAATAATCACTGAATCAAAAGAATAAATTCAATGTGTTTAACTAGGTAGGTTCTTTCTTAAACTAAATCAGTGTATGAAGTTGTAAAGGATAACTATTTTAAGGAAGAATGAGTAAAAGATAGCAAGATAGCCTTGTTCAGACTCAGAGATCTGAGTCTTTTCAAAGAACTAACCTGCAAGGGTTACCATAGAAACAGCATTACATTTAAAAGACATTCTCAATATTGTGTCACAGATTGTTTCTTATATTATGCTGTATGATTTCTTATATTATACTACTGTATATTAAAATGGAAGCATAAGAGTTAACTCTACACCTAGAATAATTTTTTAGAAGGCTAGGGAAGAGTTAGCTGACCATGTTAGACTAAGCATGATGCTACTGGGAGCCAACCCTCATTGGTTATATTGGAAGAAAAGCTCATTTGAAACATTTCAATTATATTGAAATTATATTCAATTTAATTTTCTATCGTTGATTTTTAGAAACAGATTTTTAGCTGGCAGCCAGCCTTTTTTTTTTTTTTTTCAAAATTTGAATTTCATTACAGGGCTAAATTTGAAACCAACTCCTATAAGTATTTTGTTAGCATTGGGATTACAGGAGGAAGGAAAGTGTTTTAAATGGTGTTTTGTTGTCCTTGAGGTTTTTTTGGCTTTGGCAGGAAAAGCCTGTGAGAGGTACAATAATAGAAAAGGTCCATTATGTTGTTAGCTCACTAGATTTTCTGTTTTCCATTTGTTCTTGGTGGATTTAGCGCTTTCCTACTCTTGTTACTATATTGAGGGGGGGAATTCATTTTTAAAATGCTCCTTATTTTCCTTTAGGTTGTTTTGGTAGCATTCACTATTAAACTTTTTTAAATGCTTGGACAAAAACAGATTCTATGCACTTAGAATTCATTTGTGTCCAAATGGTTGGTGCCCAGATCCCTTCTAGATCCCTTCTTCTTTAACATTCAGTAAGGGGTGTGCTGTGCCTTCTAATGAAATTTCCTCAGCAGTACTTTAGTGCCTCTAATGTAATAGTTACATCATTGTTCTAATGAAGAACACATAGTCCTGGTGTGTTTCCTCTCTCGGGCATGACCAATTTGTTACTGTCTTGTTTCTACGCTGAATAATAGACTGCAATTCCAGATTTGGAGTTTTCTGTATTATAATGGAATGGTAATTGTTTTTTAATTCTCTGGAGAAATTTTTGTCCTGTTAACATTAAAAGATAATATTTATAATTTTTAAAACTCATTTCAATAAATGTTCCCATTTTTGCCTTACTATTGAAAATAGTTCAAAACTAACATTAAGTAGCTTTAAAAATAGTTAAATTTCCTTCTTATCTCCTTTGTTACTTGAAGAAAAGGCTTTGAAAAAAGTAGCGTGTATGCTTTTTTTTCTGATACCATTTTAGTTGTCTTTTCTCTAATCACCTTTGATTTCTTAATTGCTCTTGCAACTAGAAGATGTGATCAGCATTTCTGTATAAGTCATGTTGCTTTTGAAAACACTCACTTTTTTCCTTCCTTTCTCTCTCTCTTTCTCTCTCTCTCTCTCTCTCTCTCTGTTTCTTTTCTTTTCTTTTCTTCTGCAGTATTGGGGTTTGGATTCAGGACCTTTGCTGTTCAGCCATCCCTCTAGCCCTTTCAGGGTTTGGGGCTTTTTCTTGGCTTTTTCTGCTCAAGGCTGAAGCTCTACCACTTGAACTACACCTCCACTTTGAGCCTTTTGCTAGCTAATTGACAATAAGAGTCTCACCTACTTTTCTGCCTGTGCTGGCTTTTTTTGGTAATTTATTGGAGATAAGTGTCTCAGACTTTGTAGTTCAGTCAATTCCCAACTGGCCTGAAGGTGAACAAACAAGAATAAGCTACTATTATTTTAAATTACTGAGTTTTATATTGATTTATTATGTAGCAATAGCTTTCTTTCCTGGGCTGGATTTGAACCATACTCAGAATATTTTTTTAATTGG